GATCGGTACATCGACCGCATTGCTGCAGAAGCTGCACCGATCCGCCTGTCAATCTCCCGTTCCATCCTTCCCTCACTCGTGAACAAGACCCCAAGATACTTGAACTCCTCCACTTGAGGCAGGAACTCTCCACCAACCTGAAGGGAACAAGCCACCCTTTTCCGACTGAGAACCATGGCCTCGGATTTGGAGGTGCTGATTCTCATCCCAGCCGCTTCACACTCGGCTGCAAATCGCCCCCGTGCACGCTGGAGGTCCTGGTTTGATGGAGCTAACAGGACAACGTCGTCTGCAAAAAGCAGAGACGAGATCCTGTGGTCCCCAAACCGGACTCCCTCCGGCCCCTGGCTGCGCCTAGAAATTCTGTCCATAAAAATAATGAACAGAAGCGGTGACAAAGGGCAGCCTTTTCAGAATGTATTAGATTAATCTATGTAAACATATAAGTAGTTTTTGTATATTTCATTATAAGACAGTGGATAAAGCCCCTGTGTTGAGCTATATGTTTACAACAAAGACAAGCAGTAGGCTCAGCAGTACATTACTGTCCATGGGCATTAGCATAAGACTACATTTGTGTGGGTGCAAAGAAGAAGTGCAGTTGTGTCACTTTGGCAAGGTTCTGTGATAGTACCAGAACATCCATCACTATGCATGACTATGTGTCTCTGTGGCACATGGTTCTGGCTAATGTACCTGTAAGCATCATTAATGATAATATCTCTTAGTTTTCTTGATAGAGATCTGATATTTTATGATGCTAAGTTCTTCCATTAGCTATACCGCTTATTCCTGAAAAGGGTCGCGGGGGGCTGGAGCCAGCTGGAGTCAGCTGGAGTCAGCTGACATTGGGCGAGAGGCAGGATACAACCAGGACAGGTCGCCAGTCTATCACAGGGCTGACATGTAGACAAACAGCCACACACTCACTCCAATTTAGAGTCACAAATCAGCCTAAGCTGCATGTGTTTGGACTGTGGGAGGAAGCCGGAGTACCCGGAGAGAAATGAATTTTTACCTGAAATAAATGAGAGAAGATGGAGAAGTATATTTTAGCCCTGAGTAGTGCCTGCAGTTTTCTCTCAGGTTGCACGGGAGAACAACCAAACAACCTCTAACAAGAAGATAGCACAGTCTATATATAGCCTAAGAGGCAAAATACTGGGCATTCCTCAGATAACATTCTGAAATAATGTTCTTATGGTTTTTATGGGTCACTTTGTGACTTTTTTGTCTTTTTAGTTGTTTTGCATCATTTTGTGGTTGTTTTGCATCACTTCGTAGTTTTGTGTCTCTTTAAGGTCATTTTGCATTGATTTGCAGTAGTTTTGTGTCCTTTTGTGGTTATTTGGCATCTTATTTTAGTTATTTTGTATCTCTTTGTGGTTGTTTTCTGTCTCTTTTCTAGTCATTTTGTATCTTTTTGGAGTTGTTTTTGTATATCTTTCTGGTTGTTTAGTTAACTTTCCACCAAGAAATGTATTAATGAGCAAATTACATCTGGCCACCGGGTCCCATTGTTGTGCTGCAAATAATGTTTTATATTCCGTTTAAACACCCAACCATTCTGTTGTGCCACACTATTACTTTCTATCAACATAACTCACTGCTTTCTGTTTGGTTGGTAGAGATAGAAACATGCTAGAGGGGAAGTAGATTTGGGGACACTTTAAATGGCCTGTCCTTTCACTAGCAACTCTCAAAGGATGAGGCTGGCCTCTTGCCGCACCGCTCGCTTACTCGCTCCGATTTAGAAAGAAGCCAACAGCCTAAGGCTGTGCTCAAATTACACATGATTTGTCAACAGCAGAGAAGGAAGGCAGTCAAGAAAATTTGCAGGATGAGGAGTGACATGGGATGAATTTAAGCTTCTCTCTCTATTGTCTACTCTTCTCTGCTTTGCTTACCAGTGGCTGCTGCCCTATTTCTCACTCCCATATTTATTTTCCATGCTGGCTACAGTTCAGCTACTGTAGCTCTTTCTGTTTTACTCTGTCCTCCTTTCTGTCAGTCCTTCTGTCTCTGTTACAGACTCCAGTGTTTGAATATTGAATATCAAACTGTTTCTACTCTCACAAATGGATGCTTTCTGATTGTGCAAATCTGTCTTTCAGTGTGACTGAAATGTCTTTTCGGGCCCAAATGAGATGCAGTTTCCACTTCAAAATGTCATGTCAAACTTTGAATATATGCATCATCCAGCAAAACCAAAAATTATTTTCCTCCATTCTTTATGAAACCACAGTAACAGAAAGCTTTATAAACCAATACAATAGTGTACAGATGAGCCTGTTTGAATCACATTGCTTCCCTTTGAACTATTTTACTTGGCTGCCTGTGGAAGCATTGGCCAGCTTTGTCAGCAAAGTGCAAAGCTCAAATGAATTCACCCTAAACTCCTTGAGACTGTTTGTGCTGTAGTCAGCTTTAAATGAAACACAAATTAATCTACAATGGGGCTGGAGGTCCGGCCTCTGCCAAATCAACAGAGTGCACCGAACTGTGAAGTGTCCTTTGTTGTACAGAGCCATACATGTTCATTTTGCCTCCGTCTGTAGATGCAGCATAATAGTGATTCAGCCTAGAAGTTAATGAAAGCCTTTCAGTGGTGTCAAGAGGCGCTGGTCTTTCTGAGAAAACAATCATTTGGTGTGCAGGACGTCACTTATTACAAACTAAACTAAACTTAATTAAGCCACAAAAATATGGAATTTTGAGTTTGAAGATGGTCATACCAAATGTAATATTCAATGGAGAGCTGTAATGACATGATGCACATATACTGTACATGTACAGTCTTATGCAAAAGTTTAGGCACCCCTTGATAAATAACAGATTTTGGTGATTTTTTATTTGAACAGATGTTAACACAGTTTCTCTTGGAAATGGAAAAAATGCACAATATTTTCTGCAAACAGTGATGCATAGTTACTTCTTATGCCATAAATTGAACAAAAATAAAAAATAAAAACATGATTATGGCATGGTGCAAAAGTTTGGGCACCCTAAGAGTTCCAGAGTCTCAAAGTCTCTCACAAGGTTTCAGACCTTAATCAGCTCGTTAGATCTGATGCACAGCAACAGCTGTCATTGGTAAATGCCAATTTCAAAGCTGTACAAATACCTTGACTCTTCAAACCTTGTGCACACACTTGTGGACACCCAGCAACCATGGGTTCCTCTAAGCAGCTGTGTAAGACCCTGAAAATGAAAGTTATTGATGCCCACAATGCAGGAGAAGGCTACAAGAAGATAGCAAAGCGTTGTCAGCTTGCAGTTTCCACAGTAAGAAATGTAATTAAGAGATGGCAGATCAGGGGAACTGTGGAGGTCAAGATGAGATCTGGAAGACCAAGAAAACTCTCGGACAGAACTGCTCGTATGCTGGTCAGAAAGACAAATCAAAACCCCCATTTGACTGCAAAAAACCTGCAGGAAGATTTAGCAGACTCAGGAGTGGTGGTGCACCGTTCCACTGTGCAGCGATGCTTGCACAGACAAGGCCTTCATGGAAGAGTCAGCAGAAGAAAACCTTATCTGCGTCCCCATCATAAAATCCAACGTCTGAAGTATGCAACAGGACATCTACAGAAGCCCGATGCGTTTTGGAAACAAGTGCTGTGGACTGATGAAGTTAAAATAGAACTCTTTGGACACAATCAGCAAAGGCATGTTTGGAGAAAAAAAGGAGCAGCATTTCATGAAAAGAACACCTGGCCAACTATTAAGCATGGGGGTGGATCTATCATGCTCTGGGGTTGTGTTGCAGCCAGTGGCACAGGAAACATTGCACGGGTGGAGGGAAGAATGGATTCCACTAAATACCAGCAAATTCTGGAAGCAAACATCACACCATCTGTAAAAAAGCTGAAGCTGAAAAGAGGATGGCTTCTACAACAGGACAATGATCCTAAACATACCTCGAAATCCACTATGGAATACCTCAAGAGACGCAGGCTGAAGGTTTTGGAATGGCCATCACAGTCCCCGTTCAGACTGAGTGAAATAACATGATTTTCACAAGTTTTACTTTTGTTGACACTCTGGCTTTACTTATTTAGGCTCTCACAGACTCCATTGTTGTATGCATAGTAAGATTAATAAAAGCTAAATCAGTGTTTTTTTCTAGTCTTCTGACCTTGTTAAAACTCACTATGGATAAAAATGTTTTTTCCTTTTTTACAAACTGGCTTTGTGTATTTAATGGTGATAAAATAACCATAAACTATTGTTATCATGAGGAAACGAGGAAATATGACCTATGCATGAACAGTTAGAAATTCATTTTGTTTGCCTAGGCGAAGCATTTTTTAATTATCTTCCTTATGTTTGGGGTCAGTTTAACCCCAAACAGGCCAAACTCCGTTTGACCTCTAATGAACAAACTCCAGTT